TGAAGGATTTGAAGGATATATAGTTTTTTATGAATGCTTTTTAAAAACTTCAAAAAAATTAGAGGTAATATAAAACCGTATTCAAAAGATAACCTATGATATGTCATTCTTATTCAGAGTGTCATTTTCTATTGAATAAAGTAAAAATATACCGAATAATAAGCGCAACTAAAGAACATGGAAAACTCCGTTCGTAACCTGGAATGGGAATCCTCCAATGGTCTGAGACACACGAAAAAATTTGCTGAGGGTGCCATTAAAAAATCAAAAGTTGTAGTTGTAGTCGGTGAAACAGGAAGTAATCAAAAACAATTGAATACGTCAATCAATCCTAATTTAAGTCATATACTAACATACCAAATCTCGTTTTGTTATATGAAAAAATAAAAAAGTTAAAGGGGTGAGCCACTTTTGAGACGCACCCGGTAGGTAGCGTTAATTTCCACATTTTTGAAGCCATTTACTGCCAAAGTATCATAATAATTAATTTCGATAATCGTTCTGAAAAGAATCTACAACACAGACATTCTCGCAATTTCTACTTTCAACGTGGATTTTGGCGGTAAAAATGATTTAGCATCAGATCCTTCGTCGATCCTTTTGTTTGAAACGTCAATAAATTAGCCAATGGGACACGGCCACCGCAGTGCATATTTCGCTCGATACTTAATAAGCGTCCACTTAGTAGGTGCGAAAAAAAAGGGAAAAGAAAGCACAATAAATCTTGCTCAAAGAGATAGAGATAAAAAGGTAATTTTACTGCGAGAAGACAGATCTCATCAGTTGCAACAGAACTCCTATCGAGTCGGTTATTGGGGCTCGCTTACTTATTATTATTCCTCTTTGTTTTTCCTTTCGTTTCTTTTGCAAAACAACGTGAAAATGCGAAATTAAGTTGCTGAGTGACTGATGATACATACTATTTTAAAGGCGAAGGCATAAAGAACAAGGCTATTGTATTTCACGTGTGGGTAAACACACACACGTAAGAAAATAAAGTCCTCCTACTCTGGGTGCTCGCTAACCAAGGGATAGAAGGCAATGACAAAGCAAACGATATAGCTAGAAAAGGAGCAAACACTCCAGCAACTGGACCAAAACAGTTCTCCTTTCCTAGTGGAAGCCAACTTAAAGAGCAATCCAAAAACATGGAAGCCTCCATTCATAACCTGGAATGGGAATCCTTCAACGGTTTAAGACACACGAAAAATTTTCTCAGAATTTACGAGCGAGAAAAATCAAAGAGTTTCCTTCATTTAAGTAAGAACAATCTGCGGATTGTCACGGGGTTTCTAACAGGACACTGCCTCTTCAACGAATACCTCAGTAGATTGAAGCTAACGGCGAATGCAGACGAAGAAACAACGGCGAATGCAGAATCTGTGGGGAAAATGGAACAGCCCCAGAAGACCTCATCACTGAGTGCGCCGAGACGACAACCATTCGTACCATAAACTTTGGTATGGCCGATATCGGAGATGGAGAGCTGGTCTCTGTGGAGCTGTCTCTTTAAGATACTGGCTTTTGTCAAAGCCCTGGGATTGTATGATGAGTTACAACTCATTATAACTCAAGAAACGGGAACACAATAGATCTGCAAGGTCGCGGTGATTAACTCCCTTCATAAACATTCTATAAGCAAACACACATACTCCGTCTACGTCTATCTATAATATATCCGCAGACGATGTTTATATTATACTGCTTTACACATAACTGTAGATGTTGAGGTAAAGATATTTTCGAACTTGGTTGAACAATTTAACCAAGTATTTCTATAAACATGACAAAATTTTACTAAATAGTTTTGTCAGGTTTATACAAATACCGAATTAAAAAGTTGTAAAACTGATGTTGTGGTAGAAGGACCCAAAAATATTTTTATACACCAGAATCACCTAGCATTGTTGGCATGTATTGATAGATTGTTTCTTTGTCATATGCAAAATAGACGTAGGGTTTTATTGTACAGGGTGATTCAAAAAACATGTGCCATCTCTCGTGGGGAGATTCCTCCCGTAAATTCTTAATAGTCTTTCGATTTATTATAATTTTCTTCTCTTAGTGATTCGAATGAAATTTAAAAAGATACTATAAGTGCTACATAATATTTTAATGCTAAAAAGTGTCGATAAATTCATCAGGGACGTGCATAATATGGGTTATCACTGAAGTATTTTTCAAAAAAAAAAACATGTGCGCCACTGACTGTTTTCTTTTGATATCAAAATTATTGTGTAGGCCGTTTAATGCTAATTAAAAGTTATCTCTTGATATTTTGTCGAATTCGGCCTCCTGGATGAGATAAACGCAATGTTATTAATCACAATTAATAAAATTAAAATAAAATTAATAAATTATATACCAAATTATATACCGGGTGCGTTTCAAAAGTGACTCACCCATATAACTTTTTTATTTTTTCAGTTAAAAAATCGAGATTTGGTATGTTAGTATATGACATAAATTAGGATTGATTGACGTATAAAATTGTTTTCGGTCACTTCCTGTTTTCGGTCACTTCCAACTTTTAATTTTTAAATAGCACCTTCGGTATTTTTTTACTTTATGCGATAGAAAATAACACTGAATAGAATGACATATCATATGTCAACTTTTGACATTTTCGCATATGGTTTATTTGAAATTATAACTTGCGGTTCGTAACGAAAATTTGACTCGAAATACCAAGTGTGTGGTATCAAATTATTCGTAAAATGCTTTTTCCAAATATGCTAATGAGCCACCCTTGTTCGATTTGAAAAAATTGCGATATGATTAAAAATACAATTTGAGTATTTTTTAATTGACAAGGACAAGACACTAAAAACATTAGATGATCAAATCTATTTTTCCAAAGGCTCCTTGATTAAGAATTAGTGTTTTTAACATACCCATGGCACTCTAGACTGAATTTTAAAATACGGTTTCTTATTAAGCGAGAATGTCAAAAGTTGACTTATGATATGTCATTCTATTCAGAATGTCATTTTCTATCGAATAAAGTAAAAAATCCAAAGTTGTAGTCATTTCTAATTCATCCTAATTTATGTCATATACTAACATACCAAATCTAGTTTTTTTATCTGAAAAAATAAAAAAGTTATAGGAGTAATCCACTTTTGAGACGCACCCTGTATTTTACCTAATAATGGTATTTAAGATAATTACAAAAAACCCAATTTTAAAAAGTTTTAACATCCTGTAACTCTAAAACTATGCATTTCCATACCCATGTTTATGGGAACTTTTTTTCATATTTTTTGATGAGGAATCAATGAATACTTATTTAAAACTTCCGCAACTTAATAATATTAATTTTTTTTAAAACCTGCTATTAGACTTGGATCAAGGCAAATTTATAAAATTGCGTTTATCTTATCAAGAAGGCCGGAATCGACAAAATATCAAGAGACAACTTTAAATCGGCATTAATCTGCTTACACTAATAAGAGAAAAAAAACCGTTGGGTACATGCTGTTTTACCATAGAGATTATTAATTTGAAGCTATTACATAACAAAAAGATCAGATTATGAACCATTCATAAATGTTGGATCAGTGTGGAGCATGGTTGTAATATTTGATAGTTGTCAGTCAACTAATCAGATATTTTTAAAATTATCGAGACTTGGTATTGCAACAGCTACACTCAAAAAAATATTTTCTTGAATCAAGAGTACCTATATTTTAGTCCATCCGACGCGACCCTGCGTTACAACAAATTAAGCGCTTTATAGACCCTGGACATATTAATTTTTAATTTAATTTTCAGCACTAAATATTCTCAACTGGATTTCTTCGAATGCCGATGTCCTTTAACCAGTTCTGTTTTTCATCCAATTAGAAAACAGAAAGAAAAGTACGCCGACAGCATTTCTCAACACATTGCGCCCTTTGATCGCAAATTTCTGAATAGTCATTTAATTAGCGCGTTTATTTATGAAGGTGCGCAGCCGTCTCCTGCTGCGCTTTCCAAATTTATAGTTTCCTGTTACAACTCGCCCAGTTAAAGACAAAGGTAGCAGGCGCTTTCTGATCGTGATGGCATTTTTCAATTAGCTTCACTTAAGTAAAACAGTAAACGGAAAGTCCCAAAATTGGGTGGAGCAAGTATTTTCAGTACCTGTTATATGAGAATAAAAGGTTTAAAATTTCAAATAGACTTTTTAAGAAAGAAAATGCTATAATGGTCATTTTAATTTATACCAGTTTCAATTAAAACATTGACAAGAAATGATAAGCGTTATTATCTGGGTGTAGACGTATTAGATTAGAGATAGTTAGTATCTGTGTAGATGTTTGAAATGGCTATTAGTCTGTTTCATTGCGACATTTACAGATCTGTTGCGGTCCCCTTCTGATCTCTAGGTTACAATTTGTGTCTCATTCTTTTCAAAAAATCTAATTACTTGGAGACTGAACCCTCTACAGCTCTTTGTCAATGGCTTATCATTGCCTATATAATACAAAGAACCGCACATTTTCCAGGCTATTTCACTCACACAGAATGTGTCCTGCCGTTTCTTTTTCTGATTGGCACAAAGTATACATCAGCTTTGGATATCTATTGAGCTTACAATAAAATATTAGGGCATAGAGATATAGTACATAGTACACATAAATAATTTATGTAAAATAATAGTTCATTACAAAGTTTTACATTTTCTCTTATATGATTAGTCAAATATAGATGACAATATTGTTTATCCTTAAAACAACATTTATAATTCTGATTAAAATATAGAAACTCACAGTGCTCTCAGATGGAGCGGACCGTCCGCGACGGAGCGTCCGTGCCTTCGAGCAAGTAACATAAGTTTATATGAACAATTTCACATGGTCGCGTATGCTCCGTCCGACGGCTATCTTGAAAAAACATGACGGACGCTCCGCTTCACCTAGAAGCGCTGTCACTTCTGTCGAGTTGCATTACATACTCTAAATGTATGTGGAGATTTTTTAATACTAGTTATTTATTAATATTTATTGTAACTTTACCTGGTCTTGAATAAGATCACGTCTAATGAACTTCATTGGTTCTAGGTGAGAATGAAATAGATCCACGACTGTAAGTTGCTTCTTCAATAAATGTTCTGAAACATAAAAAAGAAAGTAATATATAAAAAACAGTTTGAACAAACAATACTATAGATCAATTATAAAAACTCTATCGGTTACTAGCTTCCAATTCACTTCAAACTTCAAATTTTGTGACACTGAGTTGATCGCTTATAACGCTGCTTGACTATCAGATAATATGGCTATTGTTTCTCTCTTCCAATTATTTTTATTACTCAACACTATATTGAGGTGTTTCTTAGAGTTGTTTATTCTTGGTGGTATTTTGAGTGGTTTCTTTTTGAGGGTGTTCACAACCTGACAATTCTCCCGGTATTGATCCGGGAGAATTGTCAGTTACCATTTTAATCATTGTCGCATATCTATCGATGATAATTTGCGGTGGTGTAAGGTCTAGAATTACCTCCATTGTTGCTGTTGGGTAGGTTCTCATGCCTGTCTCTAGACTTTGCACAGGTCTAGCCTTGCCGTACGTTACTTTAGTTTTGTGTACCAAGCAACTGCTCCATAAGTAATAATGGGTCTTACTATTGTGGTATACATCCAGCGCAAAATGTTGGGGGCGCAGTCCCATTTATTTCCCGTCAGTCTTCTGCATATCATGATAGCTAGTAATGTTCTTAATATGTCTGTTCCATAGAAGTTTACTGTCAAGGATTATTCCCAGGTATTTACATCCTGTGATGGTAATATTTCTTCTCCATCTTGTTGGATTCTTTTCAGATTTCAATTAACAAGGTTTTCAGACTTCACTTTCTGATTAACGGCTATCACGTTTTTTAAGAGCCGCTAGATTTAATTCGTCTAGTAGTTCATCCACTATCAAGCCCCACAGCAAATGGGAGGTTAGGGCAAACAGCTACAGTTATGGTGCCCATCATGAGTTTATCGATATACCATCTTTTGTGACAGGTATACTACCGTATGATCGAAAAAAACGGCGCCCAGTTGGCTTGGAAATAACGATCGATGACATTTCCCATATACTTTTACATATGATATGACAGCGATCTTCATTTAATAGCCATCGCTGACGCCGTTTTTTTTCTCGATCGATCATACGGTACTAATGCGTACTGAAATTGATTTTACAGTTTTACCTTATTTCTTAATCACTTATATGATTCAGTTGGTAAAATTCAGACCACTGACCTATAACTACGTAAAAGTCACGTTCCTGTATAATTGGATAATCTTCAATTATATCATTTAATTACCGCCGACAAATGTTAATTACGTCACCGTTTAAATTCGATCGGACAAAATTGTCCAGCATCAGTGGCCAGCCAAAAGACATAGGTGGCGTGGGCGTGCGAAATAACAGGACCTGGCTCGTGAACAGGCGCGCGATTATCAAGTCAATTCTGAGACCAATTGCGGTCTTTAATCCAATAATTGACGTTTCCTCAATTTACCGGCATGACTCGACTGTTTAATTTTTCTTCAGATGGGAGGAGTGGAAGAGAGAAAGTGAGAACATTGCTTCTGCTGTCGCAACTGGTTAAAATTAACATAATGAAGGTATGACAACATATTCTTGGTCCCTAACACTTCTGCTTTTTTATGTTTTCTCTGAGATAATGGTGTATGCTTCTAATAGAATAGTTGTTTATAAAAAATGATTTCTTCGCGTTAATAGCCTTATACCAATTCAGGGATTGATAGCGCTTTAAGAGTCCATTTCACTAGTCTGGAGAAGTAGCAAAATAAGCGTTCGGCATTTAACGTTTTATGTAAAACTAGCTAGGTATATTTACACAAATGAAGGAAATTAAAGAAAAGGAATTATACTATATCCGTATTGTAGAACATTTTTAGATAACTTCTTTATTTTTAAGATTTTGATGTTCAAACTTTAACAAAATATTCCTTGTGTTTGGACTAAATTTTCTCGAAAATAAATATATACTTTAAAATTTCGTTACAATTCAAAACATTTTGAAATTATTAATACCTTTCAAATTCCATGACTAAGTTTTACAAGTTTGCCGCATTTAAAAGGTATACCACACAGTGTAATATCTACATAAAAAATCGTTGTAAATAAATTGACTGAATAAATGCGAACCCATTATTTAAACATTACTGCTATTTGAAAAAAGAAAATAATGCGGTTTGAAAAAATCCATTAATGCGTTTAGTGTTAAAACATGTAAAACCAAATAATAACAAAACACGCAAAAATAAATATCGCGCGCGATAGAGCTGTTAATTAACTAAAATAATACAGACCGTCATAATGTATTTACTACTATTTATTACTAAATAATAATTCACTAAATTAAACTTTATTGCAAAAAAAAAAGTTCTAGATATTTCGCAAGCTGAATCAGAAAACTTTAGAAAATCAACAGGTATATTTATTTTTGGTCTATATTAAGTGTGGATTATAAAACTCCAGTACCAGAAAACTTAAATTTTAAAGTTTTCTGTTTCAGTGCCAATTTAGATATAGTGGCTGTTATATATAACACTTCGTCAAATCTTAAAATACAAACAAAATTAAAAAATATATTACAAAGATGTGGAATTTTAAGTTTAATATAGTTCAGCTAATTAATTGATATACTCACCAATAATATAACCCATTGTAACATCGTCTGGCAAACGAATTCTTTCTCCAATACTGATAAATTTTCCATCACTGAAATAAAAAAAAAACTTTTTAAAATAAACTGCAAAACAAGAGCAGAATCTTGTACTTAACAAAACAGAGGGCTTAAAATTAATATGCCTTTTCTAGCGTGGATATTAGAAGGATGTTAAAAATTATTAAACATTTCAATTTTTATAACCAATTATATTTTAAAATACTTTTTAAACTACCTATAATTATTACAAGATCGTATAACGATAACAAAAAAATGTTAAAGGTTTGCTGAAAAAGTTTTGGTTAAGTACAGAGAAAACGTTTCTGTTGTAAGTACTTAAAACCAATAATTACAACCAAAAATCTAAAGATTTTATATACGTCAAAAAATGGTTTTCAACCAAATTAATATGACATAACCAACATGAAATTTGATTAATATACAGGGTGGTCCGAACTGTATTCCGGAAACCTCGGCAGCATATTCTACAGATAAAAATAAGTAAAAAAGTAAGGTCCAAAAATGCTTAGTTTCGGAGATACAAGGTGTAGAAGTTTCATTTATATTTCGATTTTTTCAAATAATTTCCGAATATGGTATATGGGTATGGGAGTTTTTTCACATGAGAAATTTTATTTTGATGTCAATATGACTCCTATTTGTGGCGCCACCTATATTTTTTTAACTGTTTTGAAGAATAATAACTTTTCGTCCTTACCTGATTAAAACTACTAGGTGAAAAAATATATATTTCTGTGATTCTTTACGTAGAAAATGTCTCTTAGTAAAAATCACTACGAGCAACCATTCTCCAGATATTTAGAATGAAAATAGTCATTTTCTTTCGTTATTGACAAAAATAATCATGTCGAATAGATAGTTGTTTGACTGAAATGGTAGATTTGGGAACTTTTTATTTTTTTAAATCAATTATAAATTTTTCTTCGAAAAAATGATGATAAAACATGAAAGTGATGATGTTTCTGTTGAACTTTTGGCAACATTTCAAATTTATGATTTCATTCTAATAATTATTTAGCCAACATGTTTAATTTATGTCAATGACGACAAGTATCGACAATTTTCATTCCATATATCTCGAGAACAATTATTACTCGTAGCGATTTTTGCCAAGAGACCCTTTTTACGTAAAGAACGTCGTAAATGTATATTTTTTACTCAGTAGTTTTATACAGGTACGGACAAAAAGTTATTACTCTTCACACCTATTAAAAATATGTATATGGCGCCCGCTACAAGTAGGAGTCATATCGACATCAAAAAAATCAAATTTCTCATGTCAAAAAACTCCCAGACACCAATTATCATCCCAATATTGACGTTACTTCAGAAATGATTTGAAAAAAATCGAATTAAAAATGAATCTTCTATTACAACCTGTATCTCCGAAACTAAGCATTTTAGGATATATCCATGGTATAAAGAAAACAAGGTATGATCGATAGTGGTTCCAATTTCGTTAAATTTGCGCATACCACCTGTGACGTCATACGCCATACAAAAAAATATCAATATTGTTCAATTGCCCAATAATTGCCTAAAAAAAGACCTAAAATAGGGCAGAATTAGGACATATCCCCAAAAGTTATGTCAAATCATCGAGCTTGACATTTGAAAAATTATTTTCACATTTTTATTTGTCATCTGTTTGACAATTTGAAATTGGTGCGGGGAGCTTGCCGATCAATGCAATGGTGCCGTTTATCACCTGTGACGTAGTGACCAACCTGCGCAATATCATACCTTGTATTCTTTGTATCATGGGATATATCTATTAAATAATAAAAAAATAATACTTTTAAAAAATATATGTATATTGGAACGTATAATATGAATTCTTTCTACCAATATTTGCTGACTAAATTATTCGACAAATAATCTCGTGCCAATAACGACATAAAAAACAAGCTTTTCCTCCATCTCGATTCCAATAACTTCTTTTTTCTCGAGAAATAGTATCTCCTAAAACGGTCGATTCATATTTGCGGTTTGCATACAAAACGGGGTTTTAAAGTTGGCTATATATCAATCGATTCGATGCGCAGAATTTTATTCTGATTAAACTTGTTCGTTAAAGAATCCGATGCAGAAAATAGTTAAAAAGTTTAAAGAGTTTTCAAATACGTTTTGCAATCCGGTAGGTAGTTTGATTAAAACGGAGTTTATACTTTGATGTACTTACGAACATTTATCAGATAGAATGTTTGGAATACTTGATCAATATAATAATTGCTTTAGTTTGACGAATAATATTGGTAGTGGTGTTGTTTTGGTTTCCAATATTTAGCAATACCAATGAGATTCTACTCAAACATTGCATATGTCAAGATCAGCAACATTTTTCGATGAAATCAGAAGCAATAGACCGTGGTAAAGGAGAGATATCTGTAACTGAACGATAACGACATATTTCTGTGAGAGAGGTGTCGATGATGATTAATGTTGTTGAGTGGTAGCGCTGGAAACACCCTATGTTCTAGAATTTCGAGATTGATCTAGAAATGGCGTTCAAAAATCTAGATACAGGTTCTGTAGTATTTAAGATCGGTAGCGTGTGAAGGAAACATGTTTTGAATTAGTTTGAAATATTACTACTGCCACTACTCGCTAAAGAATATTCGTCACGCATCAGAAGATGGTTACGCAAGGCGTTTTCTTTCATGGGCTTTTCTGTGACTGAAAAGCCGACGATACGTGATGTTATCTCTCTTCCACACTCCGGGCGCTCAAAAATCTCATTGCTTTACTGTACCTTTTGAGTTGTCCACCCGGTTTCATCTTACCGTCTACAAGCTCACCGTAAAGAAGAGATTTTGGTAGAAGGTTTTCTTACATCCTGCGAGCACTCAGCCCATCTTAAGTGCGATTTAGTAACCATGACTTCAACGCACTCGCAGCTAGTTTTTCAAGAAGTGATACGTTTGAGACATGAAGGAACCATTTGATTCTTAGGACTTGTCTAAGGTGTCTCTGTTGCAACTTGTTTAATGTATTCATGTGTCGGCGTTTCGCTTCCATATAACACGGTGGGGATTATTATTGCTCGGTAATCTAGCAAGTTTCGTTTCTGTGCTCAAGTCAAGATTGTAGAAAAATACCCACGGAATCCTTAAGAATAATATAGGCAGTTGGTAATGGTGCAGTTCGTCAGATGTGGCATGTCATTCATCTCAGTCACAGACGTCACCAACGAGCGCCTTGATAACCTAGTTGGTTTCATCTAATTTTCTTTGTTTTCACAGATGGCGATAGTTCTTATTCTAGTTAAATTTTGCCATGTTTGCTAGTTCAGATATCTCCACGATTATTATAACGTAGTATTTAATTGTCTGGAGAATCTTCACCAACCATTTGACAAATTTTTACGTCATTTGGGCCTTCACGTATGTCCCTAAACGTGTCCTATCAAAGGTATGCTTTTGATTTTCAGTGTATTCAGAGGAATGGCGACCAATCTAAGGGGTAAATCTAAACGCAACAGTTCTTTTTACGCATTAGTCTGCATCATTTCGTTCTCATTTAAGACGATATCCATATATTTGGCACTATATAAGGTGAGAATCATTAACAGTAATATAAAATCGTTTTTCTTATATGCATGGAAACTGATCATAACCCTAACATATTACCATAACCCTAACAACTACAAACATTTGTAAATAGATGTCTGCGACGGATTCTCTGCATATTTTGACCTAACACGATTCGAAATGAAGATTGGCTGCAGCTAATTAACCATAGTGAGATAAGCAAAGAAGTGCTCATACGGAAGTGGGGATGGATATGCACTAAGAAACACCCACAACCTAACTACAGTGGAGCCCGGGGGTGCCGGCACCCCCCCCCCCTTCCCCAAGAAAAATCTTGAATTATGACTCTTGGCTACGTATTAATTTTTATTTGCTTGTGATGTAACGTTTTCTAGTTTTTAGTTAAAATTATTTTGATGTGTTCAAAAAATGTGTTAATTTTTATTTATTTAGCAAATTTGTTTTAAATTAATTGTTATTTAAGTAATCTACAGGAACACGGTTTGATAACCAAGTCTATGAAATTTAGTGATAGAGAAATTCATGTAAACGTTTTATTCAAAAAATGTGTTTTTTAATATTATTCTTCATTTTTTAAAGAACAAAAGACATAGGCTCCCCTGGGTTCAACCCGAGGCCTCCCTAGGATGAATTGCTAGTTACGCTAATGCTGGAGCCTACCAAGACATCTAAAAAGAAGACGCCTAAAACAGATATGGTGCACAATCGTATGGAAGAGATCTCTCTCTCTCTCTCCCCCACCCTCTCTCTCTCTCTTCAGTCCTTCACCCTACGTGAGAGAGAGTATGGTGACATCATGTGTTGATTCCCCTCACTTCCTCAGACCAAGTTGACACGGCGCCATATGTGAGGCTTCGGGGAGGTTGTGGCCCACTAGGGTTTTGACTTAGTCTACCCACCTCTTAGGTGATCTTTCACGTGATTGTCTTCCCTCTACCTTCCCCTCTTCCATCAGTCTCTCAACTGAGGTGCCACTCCTGGCTATATGCACAAAATATCGGAGGATTGACTGATACAATTTGGTAACCAGACGTGTCTCAATTTTTAGTTCTTCGAAAAGAAATACATCTCCAAGGCGTTTATTCTTTGCTTATCACTTTCCTTTAGTTATGGAAGAGATAGCGAAGGCAAACACATCATGGTTGGAGGCTAAGAAAATACCAGCAAATATAATTAGATCAAAACATCATCTAAACTTCATTCTTCTTTAAATATCATTGATATCGCGCATTTATAAACAAGAAAAACAGGCACATTGCTATCGTATACGATCACCTTTATTTCCTCCTATTTCTATCTAACCACGTGCCAACCTGTCGGCAGATTCGAGCTTCGTAGCCATCGGGCATAGCCGCGGTCATTCGGGTCGGTCGTGTCTTCTTGCCGATCTCTGTAATTTATCTACTAATTTATTATCGCCGGCCCCGATCTAATTCACGTCCCGCTCTATTTGTTAAACTAGGAATTTCGCGCCAATTTTA